CGGCATCGCTCTCAGCCCAAGAGATGTGTGTCCTTCCCGTGGATGGACAGACGGATATGCAGGGAGCTGGAAGGAGTGGGACTGACCACAGTGCCATATTTCCTTGAAGAGGGGTGGTTGCAGCTTTACTGCACTGCCAGGCAGTCCCCTGGGCCTCAGTTTCCTTGCTGAGCAGTGGAAAACAGATCCTGTGCTAGCAGTGAGGATGGACTGCTGCAGCAGCACAAGGTCAGGCCCTCAAGCTGCACAGAGAGAAAGACAAATTTTCTCCCCTTAGGACGTGAATGTTCCCTTCTCTCCCAGGACAGAGCTGGGCTTTTGCTGGTTCTGTGTGAAACTTTGGTTGTTTGGAAAGAGTAACAACATCCAGAACCACACAGGCTCACTAAAGAGTGCTAGGGCCATTCTTTCTCCTGTCCATCCGTCCATCCATCCACACTTACATGTAGCTTTCTCACAGCCATCCATCTACTGAGCTGTCTGTACACTCACCCATCCATCCATCCATCGACAAATGGGTGCATCACTCTTCTCACCCATCCCCACACCTACCTGTCCATCCAGACAGCCACCCACCCATTTGTCTGTCTACACTCCCATTCACCCCTCTGTCCATCTGTCTCCTAACTGTCAGTGCCCAAGGGATGCCCAGGGCTCCTTAGGGGTACAGTGCGTGCATGCGTGTGTGTGGGACATGTTGGCCATGAGAAGCACGGTGGGCAGCGATGTCCCAGGCTGTGTCCAGCCATGGGGCAGGGGCAGGAGTGCTGGCCAGGGAGAGGGGGGGCTCATCTAATTTGAGAATGGGCTGCATAGTTGCTGTCAGCACCAGTTGGCTCTGATCTGGGGACAGGTCCTCATCAGCTCCACTTGCCACCCACTGGCCTGACATGAAAGGGCTCTGCACCCCGATAAGGCCCCAGATACTTGGCCCTGGAGGTGGGCAGCACTGTGGCCGAGCCTGGGAGACCTTGAAGAGTAAGTCAGAGTGACTGTCCCCAAATTCACCACCACCCCAGCACAAGGAAGGCTTGTGTGCTTGCATCAGTTGGGAGTTCAGTCCTGGGGACTGCCCACTGCTTTGAGCACTGGATCATGCCCTGGGTCATCAATGTCTCCCACTGGGGACACAATCCCAGGGAGGGCTCCATCCTGACCATCCCCCTGGCTGCCACAGGCCTCTCCACTGGCCGTTATCCTGCATTGGAGTCCCCCGGCTGTGAGCGGCCATGGATGGGGACCATGTTGTTTTAATAAGATCATTCTCCTCCTGCCGTGAGGTCGCAACCCCAAGCTTATGACATCACAGTGCGCTGCCATGGAGATGCCGGGATGTCACAAACACAGCTCGATGACCTCACTGCAGGAGCAGGAGATGGGGCCAACCTGGGTTTGATTGCCAATGTCCTCAGGAATAAAAAGGAGGGGAGGGACGCTGGGAAAGTATGCAGCCGCTGAGCGCTGGGGTGTTTGGGTTGGAAATCGCTGCGCTTTCCCCGCAGCGGGAAAGGCCCGTTCTTTCCTCCCCCTGTCCACTCCCTCCCAGCAGCCAGAGCCCCCCAGCCTTGTGGCTATGGGGCAGGGGGGCTCTGGGAGCAGGGCACCCCAATCCTTGCCCTTGGGGCCGTGTGGTCAGGAGTGAGAGACAGAGCTCAGAACAGCATCAAGGCACCAGCTTAGAGGCAGAGGGAGTTCAAGGGGCAGAGGGGCACTCAAGGGATGCTTTGTCCCACAAGCAGGATGGGGATCACTGGGGATGCTGTCACAAGGGGCAGAGTGGGTTTGGGTCTGGGGGAGGTCTCCTCTTCCTCAAGAGAATTCCAAGGCCATGCTGCTATATGGGGACATGATTACCCAGCACAGCACCCCGAAGCTGGACCCCAAAGAACACCCCTTGGCCCTGCCCATCCAACCAACAGCTGTCCCCTCCTCAGCCCATAAACTACAGCCTCTCCTGGGGACCAGCCCCCACTATCCCATCACCCTTCCCAGTGCAGCTGAGTTCTCTATCCTCCACAGACTTTTCTACTGGGGAAAGCATGGCTGGTTGGGGAGACACCCATCCCCCCCACCTCTCTGCTGCAGGGGTGCAGAGGTGTCTGTTCTCCCCCTGCATCCTCCGTCATTAATTTCCATCAGTGGCCAAGCAGGGCTGGGGCTGCCCGGGGGTGGTCGAGGAACACAGCGCTTTCCCCTGATAGCAAAAATAAATACATTAAAATTCTTGCAGGAGGCAGAAGAATGCGGGACGGCAGGAAAAAATTGTTTTATAATTTGTAATAACACAAAAGCTGGGGTGGGTGGGGGGCGGGGGGAGTGAGCTGCGAGAGGCGAGGAAAGGCAGAGACAAAGGCTCAGCTGCGACAGTGGAGGCTGCTTCAGGGTGGCAGTGGTACCCCCATTGCCTTGGCTCAGTGTCACCACTGTGTCCTTGTCCCCTGAAGTGTGTGTCCCTTTAGGTCTTGTTGCAGAAGGGGAGTCAGTGAGAAAACTACTGGGGCTGGGGGAGCAGGCTATCACACCCTGGCTGCTTAATCAGGTCTCAGCATCTATATGCCTCAGTTTCCCCTTGCTAAAGGGGAATTTTTACGCAGCTGTGAGAAAAGCTGTGAAACAAGGGCAAAGCCCTGGCATCCCTCCATCCAGTCCTTCTGGTCCAGGCACAAGGCAAGGAGCCTGCCTTTGTTCACCCTGCCCCCACTAGCCCCTCTCAGGGGGGTTTGCTATAGGACCCAAGCAATGGGGCCAGTTCCCATATGCGTGCTGGGGGCATCACAGCCCCCCCAGCCCCCTCCAGCCTCACGCAGAGCTAGGACATGATAAGGCGAGTTGCTGAGCACCAGCCGCACCTGCTCGTCGAGACGGCACTCCCCCCCACTCCGCTCCCCTCTTCGGGGCAAAATCAAAGGGATTTTTCTGCCCTTAGGAAATCAGATAAAGGCTTCTCACCTGCCCCGCTCTGCCTTTGCAAGGAGGCCAGGCGCTAGGGGCGGGGGGGGGACAACAGGCACTTTCAACACGCCGGCAGATGAGCCGTGTGTTGCAAGCAAGCTCTGCTGCAGGGGCTGGGCCCCTGGGCACCGTGTCAGGCTCCCCAGGCCTTAGCAGGGATGTCCCCTGCTACTCTTTACTGACTTTCCCCCTAAGATTCAAGGTGATGAGATTCCTGTAGGGCAGGTAGGATGGAGGCTGGTGGGTGAAGGCAAAAGACAACAGGGACTGGACATGGTGTGGTAGCCCAGATGCAGTGCCCTGCTCAGGGAAAGTCCTGTGCCCCTGTGTCCCCATGCTGTGGCCAGAGCAGCTCAGTCCTGGTCACAATTCCAAGGGTGCAGACTGGGAGCTCAGTTGCTGTGAAGGATGGCAGAGAAGGAGCAGGTGTGAAATCTCCAGAGGTGGTGGGAGTCTCTTATCTCCTGTGCCCAGGAGGAAGAGGAGAATTGTGCCAAGCTGCAGATAAAACCTGAGTCATTCATCACCAAATGCTGCTGGTGGGGAGTCAACATGCCCAGGTGAAGGGGTGAAACTGTTGGTGGTTGAAGCAAAGGGAGCAGTGATGGGCAACCCAGAGGCTAGAGATGGGCAGAAGATGGGAGGCCAGGAAGGGGGACAGAGCTCAAATTGCTGCTGGAGGGAGTGGTGAGCTCACCAGCAGAGAGAGTGCTCTGCTTTGCCCATCATTGGTGGCAGACACCCCCTGGTCTCTGGGGGTAACCCAATGGGTGCTCAGTGGTGGTGGGTGCAGAAGTCAATTGGACTCTCCAGGGTGGCTGTCCCAGCCCTAGGACCTATGGCCTGGATGCTACATGGCTGGAAGCTGCATCCCCAAACTCTGCTGGGAGTCACTAACAGTACAAGAAGAATCAGAAATCCAGAGCACTAGGAGACCATTCCTGAGGCTCCTCTGGGAGAAGAGAATTGGGGTGGCAGCCTATGGGTACTGGTTCCTTCTGTCCCCAGCTGCCTAAGCCTGGTGTGCCCTCTGCTATCTTTCAGGCACCTCGGTTTCCTCCTGCCCTAGGCAACTCCCGCTACTCCTCCTGTTGATCCAGTGCTGGGGGCTGTCTCCCTCCTGTATCCTGGCTGCACCTGACATGAAATCACCATGAACAAGCTATCCCTCACTGCACTCCTCCTGGTCTCTTTTCTGCTGGGGCTGACCCCCATCATTCTCCTCCTGCATTTACCCCTGCCCCAGGCATGTCTCTCCAGAGGTATTGGAGCCAAGTGTTGGGAGATGTTTGTGGGGGGTCACTCCTCCGGCATCCCTAGACAGGACAGATTGGTCTGAGGACAGGCTCCAGGCAAACCCAGTGTGGGGACAGGGGCCAGGCAGGGCTGTGCTGGCAGGCAACACAGGGACTCCAGGTTTGGGCAAGGCCATGCCAAGGGTGTCAGGGTCGGGCAGGAATGTGATGGGCAGGTGTTGGGGACACCTCGAGGCCAGGTCGAGTTTGGCAGTGCTGCGGCAGGACCATGAGCGGAGCCGGGCAGTGCTGTGCCAGGCAGGTCCCGCAAAAAGGACTGCACGTCCAAGCGCGGCGGGGGGCGCGGGGCTGGACAGGCTGAGGCCACCGTCCCACTGCCGGAGGGTGCCCGTGGCCGTGGCCGTGCCCACATCGTGGCCGTGGCTGTGCGCCGGGAGCCGAGCCTGGCACCCGGGAGTCCCCCCGCCCGGCCCGCCCTGTCCGTCCCCCCGGGCTCCGGTTTCCCTGTCGGAGCAGATGCTTTCGCAGCCCCGTCCCTCCTCCTCCTCCTTCTCGGGAGCAGCCTCCGCGCCGCGCTCCAGCCGCCCGGAGTTGCCTGCCCAGCCCAGTCCAGCCCAACCCAGCCCGGCCCGGCCCGGCCCCGCCGGCCGCGTTGCCCGCCCGGCCCGGCCCGGCCCGGCGGAGGGAGGCACCGGGCACCCACCCGCCGGGGCCCCGGCCAGACCCTCGGGGCAGCCCGGCTCACCGCGGGTGGCGCGGAGCGGGTTCGACACTTCCCTCAGCCCTGGCAGGATGCTACCTTCTTCCCGGACCCAGCTGGGGCTCTTCTTCATCCTCCTCTGCCCCGCCAATATCATCGGGCTCTGGTGGTGAGTAGGACATCCCGGGGGGGGGGATGCAGGAGGGCACGCAGGGTCCCTCGATCTCCGGGGGTGGTCCTCCCACCCCAGCTTGGGGATAACAGAGTCCCCTACACCCAGGGCACAACTTGGGTAGGAACTGCTGCTTGCTGGCCAGGAGGATCCAGATCAAGGCACTCACATGCTGTCAGGGTTTGGGCACACAAGTGTGTTGGGAACAGCAGGCTGGAGCTGCCCCAGGGGTATGGGGCACACAGGTCTTGTGGGGAGAGCTGCAGTCTGCCTCCCTGCACTTCAAGTCTTCAGCCTAGGAGGGTTGTATGCCTGAGCGATGGGGAAGGTGGGGTAGGGGCCTCCAGACCCCTCCAATAAGTCAACTTTAATTAAAAGCCCGAGGGTCCCTACCGTGTCCCTCCTGAACAGTGGCCTGGACACAGCAGGGACAAAACCCCTATTTGTAATGGTGCCTTCATCAAAGGCAGAGACGGTGCCTTGCAGGATACCAGAGGGGGTGGGGGATTCATTACAGGCACAGAGCTGGGACCTAGCCTTGGAAAGCCCAGGTATCTGTCGAAACATGAACTATTTAAATCTATTAAGAATTTCACCCAGCCTGTCTTTATCCGGTTTTAAGTGCTTAGATTCCAGCTCCCCGGCGTGCCGTCCGGGCTATCATTCATTATCTGAGGCTATTCGTCTCCACATTGTCACACTCTTTTGACCCCTAAAATAAAGCTCTCCGTAAGCCTTTCCCCTCTTGGTCCACTGCCTGCCCACCAGTGATTTATTCTACATCTCCATTCCCTTTGCTAGCCCTGGCTCCAGGGATGCAGGGCAAAAGCAGGGGCCTTGGTGAGTATAAATGGTGCTGTTATGGTCAGCTGTACACCAGCTAAGTTTGTCCCCAGAGCAAAAACTTGGTTTATTGCCAGACAAATGTTAAACATGGGTCTGAGAGGGGCTTGCCTTGGTTTTTTGCTAGAGGAGGGGAGAATGAGGCAGGGCAAGCCCTGGTCGGGACAGGATGTGTGTGGAAGATCTCCATGCTCCCTGCCACCCACCTCAGGGTAGATATGCAGGACTCATTCCCTCCTGCTGCCTGAGACCTGCTGTATTTCTCTCGCTAATTCTCAGACCCATACACAGCTGTCCCTTCAGCTCTCCATGCTTTCTCTGCCCCATCCTCATCAATACTCACCCAGTGAGCCCTCACCTTCAATCTCATGCCCTGTGCTCCAGCTTTGAGGACATCTACCCATGGCTGGAACAGGTAAAGGTGAAGCAGAAGTTAATTTTGCCTTCAATTTAGGGGCAGGCAGACGGCACCGGCAAAGGCAGGGTGCTGGGGTACTGCTGCCCCCTGCCCTGGCAGCTCAGAGCCACATCTTACCGTGGAGCCTGGGTCCTGCTGATGCTGTGACCATGCCATGCGTGCGCTGGCAGAACCGACTTGGGGAGATTAGCAGGATTTGGCAGAGGAGGGCAAGGGGTCAAACTTGTTTTTTCTTCTTTTAAAAAATAAGAAGGGAATGAACCTTTAATTTAAGAATAATAAGAATAATGCCTGCAACATGGCTGAATGCACTGGGCAGTGGAATGGCTGCAGAGGGATCACCAGCTTGTACTCTACTTCACTCTGGAGCCAGCAAGCCCAGAGGAGGTGGAGGTGGTGTGTGGATGAGGCCACCAGCACCACCAAATGGACGTGCTGGGCTTCCCTGGACAGGACACAGGAGCAGCTGGCTGATACATGAGCTGCTTTCCACAGAGCTTGGGTTTTGGCCCCGGGCTGAGATCATCCCTTATTTCCAGGGAGCTCTTTCTATGCTGGGGAGAGAAGTCTGGGTGCTGCCTGACCCCTTGAGCCAGCTCATGAGGCATCTTCCCATATGTCTGCTCCTGGTCCTGTCTCCCAGGTCTGGGTAGCATTGGAGTTTGTGAGGTTTGCTGTTGGAGGAGAGGGGTTCAAGTATACAGCCATATGTTGTGCCAGAGTTCCTGGAAGCCCCAAGACTGGTGGCATTGATAGAGATGTTCCTTGCTGTCGCTGTCACTGATGCATAGGAACTTCACTGGCACACCTTTATGTGTGCATCACTGGGCACCTGTGAGTGCTTAGCCAAGGGGGCACGTTCCCCTGGGAAAGAAAGGAATGTCTTTACTGCCCCCTCTATCCCACCCCTTAGTACATTATCTGTGTGGTGGTGGGGATGCAGGGGTTGCCTGTTTGAGGGAATTTTTTCACCCACTGGTGGCAAACTAATTTTTGAGAGAGCCACAATGGGGTGTAGCTGGGTCGGGTCTCAGGAGACACAGTCCCCAGACAAGGCATGCAGCCAGGCCTGGTGTCCTGGTTTTAGCTAAGGTAAAGTTAATTAAAAGCATGACACCTGGCCACTCATGGGTGGTAACTGCACCTGTTGGGATCCTGGCAGATGGCTGCATCTATGGAAAAAGGTTCAAGTGTGACGTACGAGCACTGACATCATGCTAGTGATGTTGTAGCCTGAGAAAGAGCATCTTCGTTGTGTTAGGATGCCCCCACAGTGCTCACTGAAGATACAGTCACACCACCTTAGACACACCCTGTGCCCCTGTGTCTAAGAAGAAGCAAAGGGGCACAGGCAGACACAGACCTTTCCATGGCAGAGGGAGCAGGCTATGGTCAGTGCCAATGGAAGTTGTGCCACTCAGGTGCTGCTGGTACCTTGGTTAGTGCCAGGCTGCAGGGAATAGGCTCCCCTTGCTTCCACCAGCCCAGTAAATTCTCTTTCTTTCTCCTCCCCTCTTCTTTAGGTGTTTCTCACCCAACTCCTTGTGCAACAATAATTTCTCCCTGAGCAGGACAAGTAGGGACTGCCTGGGGCTCCTGGGCTGGCCCAGAGGGTGAAGGATACAGGGCTTGCAAATGTAGTGTCTGAGGAGCCCCGGGCAGGTTCAGGGCATGAGTTCAGCCAAGCCGGTTTGTGGTTGGGCTGTGCTTGCAGGAACGGAGGCACTGTGGGGATGGGGGTGAGCAAAGCCAGGCTTCCTGAGTGCCCATTGGCTCTCCATAGGTATGGTTGAGAGCAGCTGGGAGATGGAAGAGAGAGCAAGGGAGAAAACCATCCCAGCTAAGATGTGCTCCATTCCAGCTGTGGGTCTGATGGGGCCTGGAGGGATGGACACCTGCCCTCCATTCCTTTCCCATCCGTGCACAAGAGCACTGCACCTCCAGTTTTCCATGGGGCTTCTTCAGAGGCACTCATGGAGGACCCACCCCCAAGCACCTGTGGCTGTACCCTTGTTTGAGAGTCCCAGTCCTGCATCCCCTGATCCACACAGCTCTGGATAGTTTCATGCACCAGTGGCCTCCCCTTCTCTTCCACTGCCCTGACCAGCACCCAGACTGCTGAGAACCTGTAAGAGCAGGCTGCTGGACTGTAGGGCCCTGCCTGCATGACTTTGGGTGAGCACTGTGAGTCACTCTCTGGACTTGCTGACCTACAGCTGCCACCCCACAGCGCCCAGCAGACGGGGCTGCCCAGCCATCCTGGGCATGCCCTCCCCCCTGGAGCAGCACCATACAGGAAGCAACGAATGTCCCAGTGTGGTGGCCCCTGACCAGTGCCATCTCCCTGTGCCCCAATTAAAGCAGCTGCTGACCCTCTGGGTTTTTCAAGAGGAAAATGTTTCTCTTGCACTTTTTGAGATGGCTACTGGCTCCAGCGTTAGGCTACTTGTGTTCTCTCCCAAAGCAACTGAGCTTTCACCCATGCCATCCCTTGTCCTTGCTCCTGGTCACATCCACTCTCACTTGGTGACACCCAGGCTCTCCAACCCTGCCCTACACATACCCCAAACTGGAGGGCTTGTCTGGGCTTTGCATCAGAGGCTTGATCCCTTCAAATACCCCTCATGTAGGAGGATGCTGGGCAGAGCTGAGCACACCCCGATATTTGCTCAGAATTTGCAGGGTCCTGCTGCCACATGTGGCACCTGTATTCGGGCATAAGCTAGCCCAGCCCTCATGCCACCCCAGCTCCAGCCTCTGCCAGAACCCAGAGGAAGAACACACTGACCACGGGTGGGTGGATCTCTTACTTTTTATCCCAACCCTTCTAGGGTTTGGACACAGCTTTAGGACCCCCATCTCTGCAGGTACCTGCTCCCTCCATCCTCCCTGGTACCTGTACCACAAGTTTGGGCAGCTACTGTTCACAAGCACCTGGCCTCAACATGACCCTGCAACCAGCAGGTCCATAGGTTGATGCCATGCCATGCCAAGCCAAAGCCTCTTTTCTTTAGGCAGCTGCCCAGCTGTTTGCATGACATTCTTGCCAAGGAGCTGTAAAGAGGAAGGCGGGGCACAGGGTCCCCCTGCTCTCCCCAACCTGCGGCATTTCCTGCTCCCTCAGTACCCCCGTCCTGCTCAGCAGCCAAACCCTGGCTGTGCCCCCCCAGGGCAGTGACTTGTTGCTTACTCACCACACCCTCATGGGCCTCCTGCTCTGTTTTCCACACCCAGCTGCCCCGGTTAGTGGCAGCACCCACGCATCGCCCCGGGTGAGGGGTCGAGCGCCCGCTACACTTCAGCATGAGCTGAAGCTCAAGCTGGACGAGTGAAAATTCTTCTGTGTGTCCCCCTCACCCTGTTTGCACACCTCGGAAAGAGACAGGTTCCCTTCGGGTTTGACTTCCTTGTAGGGCTGTCACTGAATGTGTCATCATTGTGTGGGACATGGGGTGACCTGTTCCCCCAAGGGATGGAGATCAGTTCTCCATCCTGCAGTTCTTACCTCTCCAAGTGGATGCAAAAGCACCTGTGGGCTCAGAGCGATGAGCCGGGTACCCCAGCATTGTGCACTCCCTTCCTGACGGCACTCAGGGACTGGGATAGAGACCTGGATGTGAGGCAAGACATGCCCTTACTACCCCACAGCAGCGTCCCCTTGCCACATGGGAGTGCCCAGGCAGCAATACTCAATGGATGTAGACCTAGCAGGTCCAACATGGAGCTGGCATGGCACAACCACTGCTCTCCTTTGGGGTTTTAAGGCCACCAGGATCAAGGGAGGCATTTTTCACCCAAGATGTGGGTGCCACTTTTGAAGGCTGACCATCCTCTTTCTCACTGCATGATTCTGTCAGCCTCACTCCATTGGCTTCCTGCAAACCAGGACCTCACTGGCTCCCCTTGATCCTGTCTGCTGACAGAGGCTGGGAGAAGCCTTGCTCCACACCATCCCCATGCCCAAGGGGAAGATGATGACTTGAGCCAGGCTCCTTCATCTATGATTTTATCTGGGAATGAGACTGGGGCATACTGGAGGCTCTGTGACTGTGAGCTGAGCTGGAAAAAGCTGGTGATTATGGCTCTTAGGAACACCCGGCTCTGTTGCACAGGGACAGCATCTGGAGCAGAGGGGTTGCATCAGAAGCCCCAGTGACTCCTGTTTGGTGTGTGTCATTGGGACAGGGCTCAGGCTGCGGCTGTTGACAGCCTAAGGGGTGACAGCAGCAGTCTGGTGGTGGATTGCAGCTCCTTTTCTGTGCCTCAGTCTCCTCTTTCACCAGTGGGGGTTGTTTCGCTTACACAGGGGTGCTGGGAATTGGGTCGGGAAGTGGGGCTCATCATCCCATCTTCTCTGGGGGCAAGATAGCAGCCACCCGGCAGCAGTTCTGGCAGCCAGCGGGATACTTGGGGCAGACGGGACGGATGCTGCTGAGCCGCTGAGCCTGGCTGGGGGCTCTCAGGCAGGAGGTGGTAGGGGGGGCCGGGGTGCCTCAGGTAAGTTGTGGGGAGCCTGGCTGGCGACCCTGTTCCTTCACCAGGGCAGGGGGAGGAGTGCCCAGCGGCAGAGGTGGGGCACCTTAATTGTAGATGCGGGAGGCCTTGGAGCAGGACAAGCTCAGGCAGATCTGGGCCCTGTGCTGGAGCCCTTGCCAAAGTGGTAGCAGTTTGGCAGCATTTTTCTTGCCCTTGTCTCCCCCCATGCTCCCCCCCCTCTGAACCCTCCAAAGCAAAACAGCTCTTGGGCTCCCAGCAGCCTCCCTGTGCCAGAAAGTGGAGCCCAGCGGAAATTAATATTGTGTTGGACTTAGGCAGCCCACCCCACGCCTCGTCAGCACGGACAGTGAGCTCCCGCATTCTCCAGCCAGCTTTGCTGCTGCCTGGACCATGGGTGGGGACCCCCGTGGTGCTGGGGAGCCGCCCCCCAGCCCTGCAGGGCTGAGCTCTTCTTCCCGGCTTGATCCAGCGGGCTGGGGTGAGCCGCAGTTCAGTATTTGATCTGATGGCCCTGGGGCACGAGCGCGTCGTTTTTATATGAGTACAAAGAGTCATCTCTTAATGAAAGTCCCATCCCAGCTCCCCTTCTTCCCCACCCCACTGGAGGAAGCAGCCAAACCTCTGCTGTCCTGTTGTAGATGTTGGGAGTCCACGGTCCCCAAGGACAGCAAATTTGGAGCCCAGCATTGAGGCTTTGATCCCAGTGTGGTCATCATGGGATTAGACTGGACAGATTTTCTGGTTACGTTCCATGTGGGCCTCAGTTTCCCCATCTATGGGGGAGCTGTGCCAGGCAAGCCACAGTTCTGAAATGCTTCCCCAGCTGCCCCATCCCTTTGGAGAGGTGCAGCAAAGGGAAGCTGAGCTGCCAGGAGCAAAGGGAAATGGGTTCTTTCCAGCAGGAGTGTGGGCTTGCCTCAGTCTCCCTGCTGGAGATCCCCTTTCCAGGCTGTGCATCTCTGTTGAGCTGTTTAACCCTTTAAACCTCCAGCCAAAGCATAAGGGCTCCTTTTCCAGGCTGTGCAAGAGAGCACGTCCTCCCTAAGCCCAGCTGGGGTCTGATGGGCACGAGATGCAGGCAGCTGGGGAGCCTGGCTTGGGGCAGGGAAATCCTGGCAGGACCTTGAGCTTCAGACCTTGGAGGGAGCTTGCACTGGGGACAGGATGGCAAGCAAAGTCCTGCAGTTTAGTATCCCAAACACAGACCCCCAGCTGGGTGACAGTGAAAAGAAAACCCAGAACACAGATATACAGAGATTCAGCTTGTGATTTTTGAGCCCCTGGGGCTTGGCCAGATTATAAAGCTCTGGGTTTGGAAGTTGCAGTGCAGGCGATGCTCCCCAGCGAGTGAGGCTGATAGCAGCACAGGCTGCCCATGCACTGCTCCCCAGGGGACTCCAGGGAATGTGGCTTCACTGTCCTCAGGCACCTCTAAGTGTTGGGGTATGCTGAGTCCAACCCATAGGTTCTGTGGGCATCCACAGACAGGAAAATCATGTTGTTGAGCAGGGTGAGCTCTGAGCCCACAAGAGCTGTGCTGGAGGTGAGGGAGGGCTGAGTGGGGCCGTGTTTAGGGTGTGCTAAATTTGTGTGGCCCATGGCCACACTGCCTCCTTGCCATGGGATGGGAGGCATGGGTGTGAGGCTGTCAGTGTGGCACGCCTGCCCTCTAACCACTGCGGCTCCTGTGTTGCCCAAGGCACAGCTGGAGCATCTCCCGCCTCAGCATGGGCTCCTGTGTTGCCCAAGGCACAGCTGGAGCATCTCCCGCCTCAGCATGTGGCAAAGTGCCGGCGGGCTGCAGAGTTCCACGAGCTGCGCTGCGGAGGGCACTCCGGGCGAAATGTGTGGGGAAAGCACTGAAGTTTCTGTAGCCAGCGGCACACTGGGGAGCACGGCATCATGCTCAGACTTTGCCTCCCAGCTCAGAGAGCCAGGCATCTCGCTCCAGCTGTGCTGGCAAGGAGGAGCCACCTCTGACATGGGCCCAGCCAAGACTTGCCCTCCCACATTGGCATTGGCAGAGCTCACGATGCCACCTGCATCCCTCCCTCGCACTCCTGCACCCGCCTGCAGCTCCATTCCCTGGACCTAGTGCCTGGATTCAGGGAGGTGAGCGCAGGAACCTGGCCAGCAGCCAAGGTGCTTTATCACAGGCAAGGTCACACATCTTGTCTCCCACAGGGTAAAGCAGAGAGCCCCCCTGGAGAGGGGGAGATGCTCCAAGAGCACTTAATGGGCTCCTCACTGTGTCCACAGCTCTGGGAGATGCAGCTGCAGCAGGCATCAGTCATACTGAGATGCCGAGGCTGAATTGGGTCAGCGCCAGACCCAAAGAGCAGGTGCTGAGTAGCACAGTATCTCTGTCATCTCCCATCAGGGACACTGCCATTACCCCCTGGGATGCCCCCAACGGTATGGAGTGGTATGTTCCAGCATCATCCCATAGCCAGTTCCATGGCTGGGGATCCTCCCCATTCCTCTACTGGCTGGGTAGGGCAAGGTATCCCCTGGGTGATGGCACACAGGTGCCACCCATACCTTTTGTCCTGTCCTCCCTGCATATCTCTCTCTGTCCCTTTGTCACCTGAGCTCAGCACTGAACTGTCACTGCCCTGCGGCCCTGCTCTGTCCCTGGGAGCAGGTCTCGTCATGCCCCATCCACACCTTGATCCCTCCTGAGCTTGGGTGCTGGTTTTGCTCTGCTCGTCTGTCCCCTCCTGCAGGGCAGTGGGGAGCCCTCTGGTCATGGACCCCAACAGCATCTGCCGCAAGACGAAGCGGCTGGCAGGCAAGCAGGCGGAGCTGTGCCAGCTGGAGCCAGAGATTGTACAGGAGGTGGCCAAGGGCACCAAGCTGGGCGTCCGGGAGTGCCAGTACCAATTCCGCTTCCGCCGCTGGAACTGCACCAGCCACAGCAAGTACTTCGGCAAGATCTTACAGCAGGGTAAGGCCAGTGCTTCCTCAGCCTCCCATTTTTCCGAAAAGCCTCCATCCGGTCACACCCCTCCCCAGGACTCCTGGAGCAGTCTTGGCGTGCAAACCTATGTGTGTATGTGTGTGTGTGTGTGTGCATGTAGGGGGTTGTTCAGCGTTCCCTGGTGCAGTCACAATGAGGTTTTACTGCTGGGACATGTCTCCCTGTGTTGTAATGAAGCAATTACCGATGCTCCCAGACAGCACGGGGCTTCATGAAGCCCAAGAATGCACCCTTGTCTGGCAGTGATTTACTGCTCCCCCAGGACCCCAGGGTGTACTGGGGGAAGGGGCCTAGGTGGAAGGCAGTGCGCAGCCTCTGGGAGCTGCCCCTCACCCTGTGGGTACCCTTCACTTCCCTCCTCCTGGTCTTGCAGGAAGCAGAGGAGAGGGGTGCTTGTCCCCCGTCTCTGTGCCTGTGGGTAGGGACCCTGATGTCACCCCAAGGAACAGGGCCAGGGGCAAGAAGGGATTTGCAGGTCCCAGCCAGACGGATACAGTGGTCCAAGCCTGGCCCTGCTGCATCAAAGTCAGAGAAGGAGCAGAGCAAGAGGGCACCTGTCAGTGTGTAAGGGAGGGGAAAGCCCTGCCATGCTCCCCAGGAAGAGAGGCTGGGGGTGGATGGTGATTCAAGCAAGGGGGGGACCGCAAGTTTGAAGCACCTCAGGCTGGTAGGATCCCTTAGTGGGAGGTGAATTTAGTCCTGCCCCTGTTCCCATGTCGGTCCCTGTGACATAGTAGGTGAAGACATTGGAGCAAGCCCCAGTCTCCTTGGCCGTCACATCTCCTGTTCGTGCATGGTCAGGCCCAGGTAAAGTGGGTATGTCCTTGGGCCATGAAGAGGGGTCAGAGTGGCCTCCCTGGGGGCATTGGAAAGGGTGGGGTGCCCTGGGCACCCAGTGGCTGCAGGTGGCAATGGGGGTCTCTCTGAGGGAGACACTGGCCTGTGGAAGGGGGACAGGCTCATTTTGCAGGTGTGGGTTGCCCCCAACAGAGGAAGGTGTATTCAGTCAAGTGGCAGAGAGCCACAGCACATGGGGGACACTCTTGCCTCTGGGGTCACCTCTTTTCACCCCAACCTGGCAGCAAGGCAGGTGGGATCTGTGCCAGGCAGGGATTCAGACCGCAAGTAGGATGGTACCAGAATGCGACGGCCAGACTGAAAGATACTGATTGATGTGCTGCTGGTAACCCAGGAGCAGCTTAGGCTGGGGGAGACACAGGCACAACAGGCATGGGAATGCTGAGGGAGCCACCATGTTGGTCCAGCCTCATTGCTGGGGTGGTAGAGATAAGCAATATCCTGAAGGCAGGGGTAAGTTTGGGAGTCCCTGGCACTCTGAGGACATGGGGCATCCCAGGTAGAGGTGTGGAGGTCCTCAAGGCCACAGGATGGGCGTCAGAAGCCCTGCACTGAGAGATGCCTGTAGGCACCAGCCTCCCTGTAATCCTATAGGGATGCATAAAGCATCCTAGCATTTTTGGGGTTCCCAGCTCCATCAGATGAGTACCTCCCATCCAGGATGAGTACCTTTTCTATCCAAGGATGCTGCAATGGGCTGCTGTTTCCAGTTGTGGTCTCCCTGGCACAGACAAAGCTGTCCCCTCTTCCCTCCCTGCTGCCTGTGGCAGGCGCGGCATGCCAGGGCAGGCTGGCGTGGGGGCAGCCGCGTGTCTGGAGGAGCTGTCAGAGGAGTGGCATTCCTCTGGGCCCAGCTGGCAGGGTGGCATGGGAAACTCTGCCAGCTATGGGCTGCCTGCTGAGGGCTTTACCAGGCCCAGGCAGGAGCAGGCGGGTGGTCAGGTGGCCTGGGGGGGCAGGAGGGCTTGGGGAGGTGGTGGCATCCCTTGGGTGGCATTGTCAAAAAGGCACCGGTGTGCCCAGTTCCTGCTAACACCAGTGGGACTCACTTGCTGCGTGGGTTTTTGGAGAAGCCACTCATGGAACTGGTGCCCTGGAATCCCTCTTCCCACAGCCTCTCCAGGTCAGAATGCTGGAGATGGGGGGACGGGTCACCTCCCAAAGCTTATCTTCCCCTCCCTCCCCAGGAACCCCCTGCGTGTCATCACCCTGGACCAGCCTTGCCCTGGCATTTGGGTGGGCAGGGGTTCCACCAGCACAGAGTAGGGGGAGCACAGGAGCCCCCTTAGCAGGGCGCCACACTCCCGCTGCCAGAATCCCCCGCTGGCTGCGGCTGCGAGCGGCAGGTCTGGGCAGGGGAAAGATGCTTGGAATTTGTGTCCCGGAGCAGAGAGAGACAGGAGCAAATACTAATAATAAATAATCCTGCAGGGTGGAGGCTGCGCTGGTGGAGAGAGGGGGGCAGGCGGTGCCCCATGGCAAAGCAGGTTTGGGGGGCAGAGCAGGCAGCACGGCTTCATTGCTGCCACCCTGCAGGGGAGTGAGTGGCATCCTCCATATCCCTCTCAGCGCTTCTGTCCAGGTGCCAGTTTGCATCTGGGGATAGGATTTTTCCTGCTTGGAGGGATATTGCAGGGTAGTGTGAGGAAGCTGTGAGTACCACCTGGGACCGCCCCTGCTCTCCAAGCTTCCCTCTTTCCTATGGGGCAGCACCCATCCTTGCAAGGGGAGGTTGTCTCTCCACAGCTGGGGTGGAGGAACACTGGCATGGCCTGGCCATCACCCACATTCTTCATATCTGCTTGCAAGAGGCAGTTCCTGCCCCAGGCATCCTGTACCTAGGTGGGTGCATCACCCGGGGAGCAACGTTGAGCACAAATGAAAAGGGCGAGAAGTGGGAGGTCTTAGCCGCCATGGGATGCTAGCCCGGGGGGGCGGTGCTTTGTTTGCAGAGACTTTGCCGGAGCTGACCCCACATCCTGGCCCTGTCTGTTCTTCTGCAGATATCCGTGAAACAGCCTTCGTGTATGCCATCACGGCGGCCGGGGTGAGCCACGCCATCACACAGGCCTGCAGCATGGGAGAGCTGCTGCAGTGCGGCTGCGAGCTGACACGGAGCCGGACTCCTCCCTCCCCCACGGCGGGTCCGGGCACGGAGGGCACGGCCTGGGAGTGGGGGGGCTGTGGGGACGATGTGCAGTTCGGCTACGAGAAATCCCAGCAGTTTATGGATGCCAAGAACAAGAAAGGCAAAAATGACATCCGAGCTCTTATCGACCTGCACAACAACGAAGCCGGGCGCTTGGTAAGGCCCCTGTGCTCCTTGTCCTCTGCAGGTATCTGTGCCCTACCCAACTCAGCCCTCCACCCTTAATTTCCCCAAGCCATGTACCTGCACCAGCTTCGGCTGAAATGCGGACCCAGTATTTTTCAGGAACTCTTTGCAGGTGCTTTGGAAACCCCCTGTGCCCCTCTCCACTCCCAGACCCCTCCCCCAGGGGTAGGCAGGATTTTGGCTGGGGATGCTGGGCAGGGAGGCAGGGGAGCAAGGGCTGAACATCACCGTCTCTTCCCCAGGCGGTGCGCAGCTACATGAGGACAGAGTGCAAATGCCACGGGCTGTCAGGCTCCTGCACCCTGCGGACCTGCTGGCGGAAGATGCCCCATTTCCGCGAGGTGGGGGACCGCCTGCTGGAGCGCTTCAATGGGGCTTTCAAGGTGATGGGAGGGAACGACGGGAAAACCCTCATCCCTGTGGGTGACAACATCAAGCCCCCTGACAAGCAGGACCTCATCTACTCTGCTGACTCGCCTGATTTCTGCTCAGCTAACCGTAAGACAGGCTCACTGGGCACCCGGGGCCGTGTCTGCAACAGCACAGCCATGGACACGAGTGGGTGCGACCTGCTGTGCTGCGGGCGAGGGCACCGGGATGAGACAGTGGTGTTGGAAGAAAACTGCCTTTGCCGCTTCCACTGGTGCTGTGTGGTGCAGTGCCGCAAGTGCTCCGTCCGTCAGGAGCTCAGCCTCTGTGTCTGACAGTCTGGGGTCAACCAAGGACAATTTGGGGGGCCACCTCCAGGCTCACGCAGCCCCCCTGGGACAAAGACACATGGAACCAGTGGCAGGGACAGCGTGGGTGAGCCCAGCTCTGTGCTCAGGGGAGTCCTGGCTTCCCCAGAGGACATCATGGGGCTGCCTGGCATCCCCATGGCCCCCGTGGTGGGGGCTGCGGGCACAGAGCTTCCACTAATAAAGCTATTTAAAACTGGTGTGCCACAGCACTTTCTGGGGAGGGCTGGGAAGCGCTGACCACCGTACTGGAATGGGACTGGCCAGAGAGCTGTCCTGCCCCAGCTGCGAGTCCCAGTCAGCTGCAACTCCCTCAAGCCTCTGGTTTGTGCTGGCGTTGCTGGGACCTGTGGCAAAGCCTGCCTCATTTTTATCCACTCCCTGATTTTCTCTGTGGTTCTCAAACCCAGAGATGTGCACGGATGAGGGTGAGTTACTCTGCACCTTCCAGGCTGCATGAGGGCTCTGCTCCCATCACCCATGGTCGTTATCGCTTGGGGGTGCCAGTTTGTGCCCCACCACCACCTGACCTGGATGTTTGCAGTGACCTGCACTCCATGGTCCCTCCACTCATGCCTCATGCCAGAAGTACGGCTTCCTACCCTGACACTATGGTGATGGGCTCTGAGTTTTTTGAAGGGTTCCTGTATTCTTTTCACTCCAACCACCGCCAATGCAGTCCCCACTGCAGGGCCTGGCACAGAGAAACCCTGGACAAGGCTGACACCATTGGCTTGGTGGCATGCAAGGCATTCACTTGGCATGCCATGGGCCACGTGCAGCCTCACCTGGATGGCAGAGTGCCAAGCATGTATGTCTCAGTAACCTGATCAGCCTGTGCCCCTCATGGACAAACACAGGGTGAGGAGCAGCCTACCTGGCTGCCCAGCGAGGCAGGCTGCCAAGCCTCTGCTCTGGGGGCTCCAGGGATCTCCAAGGGGGTCCCTCCTATGCTTCAAGGAACCCATGGGAACTGGTTTCTCCAGTGTTACCCAGTGTAGGGGTTTAGGTAACTGCAGAGGGGAATGTGTGTGTGCAGTGCCTGCTCAGCTGGTAATGCCCCACTGGGCAGACAAGTCCCAGAGGGATGTCAGCAGGGTCAGAGCCTGGGCAAGGAGGTCAACGCTCCTGTGCCTGCCCTCCACAATGCAGCATGTGCTGGGCATGGGGGCTTTGCCTGTTGACCCCTCCACAAGAGGGCTCCAAGCTGATGTGGGCAATGCCCTAGGTGCTGGGTACTGCCAGATGGGGCAAGAGCTGAGCTTGAAGTGCTGGGCACACTGCAAGGCAAGGGGGGCTGCACCCCTTGCCCACCAGTGAGTCCCTCCTCGCCCACCCTAGGCAGCCAGTGGGGAAGGGCAGGGGAAGCAGGGTGCTGGTGAACCATTAACTTGGCCCAGCAAGCCTGGGGAGGGAGTCTCCAAATCTGTCAGTTGCAGCTTTGCAGCTGGAAATTCCCTCCTGACTTGCCCACAGTGGTGCTGGAAGAGGGGAGGCACAGAGGGCTCCCGGGAACTCCCAGCCATGCGCCTGCCCATGGAAACACCTGGGTGGGTGTGAGCAGTGCCGAGTGGGTGCAAGTGAAGGTACCTGTGCATGCAAGCAGCTTGGAGTGTGTGCATGCACAAGTAACAGGTTTATGCTTGTTCATGACCATATGTGTGAGTGTGAGCTTGTGTATAACCTGTCACTGTGTCTGTGAGCCCCTCATGGGTGTATAAACAAGTTGGCCCATGTATCTTCCTGCAGCTCTATGAATACACAGCAAATTGTCAAGTGTGTGTGTCAGTGACATATACCTGCATATACCTATGTGAGAGTATGTTTGTTTGCACACATCTTATTGTGTTTCCTCAGGGGTGTCTGGGACAGAGGGGACATGAGTGGGTGCAGAATGATCCTCCAGGAAGGGAGTTGCAGAGATGCAGGATCTGTGTTCGGGGAGATGTGGGAGCCATTTCATGGGCTCAGCAGGTCCCTTTGAATTGGAAACTCTTGAGCACACCTCAAGCCCTGCACTGCCTGTCGTGAGAGCTCAATTTAGGAAGTTCTGTATAACTTTGGGTCATCCATGGTCTCCTCTGGAGCCAACACAGGCTGAGGCAAGCTATAGAGGGATTCTGAAACCCTCTGAGAAATGTTCAAAGTCCTAGCTCTGACATTCAGGAAGTTCCTTCTCTGGATTCTGTCTCAGTTTCTCCACAATAGGCTGCTTTCATGCTCTGGGCTGCGTGGACATGGGTCTTGGAGGTCTGGCTATGGATAAACCCCAAGGAAGACATTTAGTACTTTTGAGTAAAGGATCTCGCCTGTGTCCTCTCTGCCATTGCCCCAAATCACAGCTCCTAAAGGATGGAGATCACATAAGCCAAAAATGCAGAGGGGGAAGCAGATAGAAAATGGAGAGAAGCGCATGATCAGTGATTGTGGGGTGACTCCTCTGCACTTCCAGGAGTCACCTCTGCACTGTGTCTGTGAGCCCCTCATGAGTGTGCAAGTCAGTTGGACCCTGTGTCTTGTTTCCTGCCCAGCTGGGGAAAGGGCTAGCTCTTGTGGGGGTTGACAGGTTCTTACCACAGCTTCCTGCTACTCCTGAGCTGGCAAAGCCAAATCCATTCCCTTGGTAGGCAGAGAGGCTCTGGCACAGGCGAGTGATGCCAGTAGCCAGTCAGGATCTGGACCTGGCCCAGTGGTCTGTAGAGGGCTGAACAGCCAGCAGAGGCCCCTAGCAATCTCACAGTTCTCCAGATCTCCATAGCTCCCCAAGAGCTCTCTATTGACTAGGACTCCACCCCAGATTCCTAGGAGACCCCAGCAGTCCCTAAGGGGCCCTCACCCCCTCACGTTACTTCCCAGGTGCCAGGAAGTGGCCTAGGAGTCCCCTAGATTCACAGAAGTCCCGCAGCTATCCAGACCCTTAGGAGGCCTCTGAACCCCTTCAAGACCCAGCAGTTCCCAGCCCGGGGGGCGCAGCATCCCCGCTGTCGCCGTGGCAACCCGGGATGCGGGGCGGGCGGCGCGGCGCCGGGCGGCCGCCAGGGGGCGCTGCGGCACGGCACGGCACGGCTGGGGATAGCCCGGGGGAGCATGGGAACATGGGAGTGGGATGGAGGGGTGCGTGGGGAACATGGGAGTGGGATGGAGGGGTGCGTGGGAACATGGGAGTGGGATGGAGGGGTGCGTGGGGAACATGGGAGTGGGATGGAGGGGTGCGTGGGA